ACAATATTTTTTGGAATTATTTGGCGCGAATGACATGCTTTCGTTACAAAGTCAAGTGTCAGAGTGATTAGTGAGGGGACATAAACGTCGACATTTTAGTAAGGCTAGTGTTGCGCCAGTACACCGGCACAGTGTCGGATTTTCTGCCTAACAGTCTATTTCTCTAGACTATATTCTACATCGTAAGTAGAGAATAAGAAACCTCAATATCAGTATGATGTGTCAGGTTGGGATGCATGGCGCGCGACAAGGGGCGCATCTACGACGCGTCGGACTGGTTCAAGGAGGCGCTGAAGGTGAACACGGAGCACCCGGACACGTGGTCGCTGCTCGGCAACCTGCACCTCGCGCAGCAGGAGTGGGGACCCGGACAGAAGAAGTTCGAGAGGATCCTGCAGAACTCCGCCACCTCTACTGACGCTTACTCCTTGATCGCACTCGGTCAGTTATACCAAACTAAAATATAATAATACTTACTTAATATTATAAAGTTACTCTGTCTGTCCTTTTTTCACGGAAAAATTACCCAACGAACTCACCACTAAAATTCATATTATACAGGCGCCCCCTGTTGTCAATAAGTGCCATTAGGTTCTTGTTGTGTCATGTTTTGTGTGTCATTGCGTTTTATCAATAGTAAGTTTTAGTTATAAGTTTTCATGCAACTACTTCTAGTGGGTTTCCGAGACCAATGTCTCCGTTTAAAACATATTGCGTTCTGTCAAACATGAAAGACAGGGATGACGATATGTTTTATACGGAGTTACCCACAGGTAGTGCTCCAGCTGTAGTCTGATAGCCGTAATATGTTGTATATTGAACAGGCAACGTATGGCTTCAAACATTGCATCAGCCGTGTCGTGAGAAGGAACGCGAGAAACGTCACCAGGAACGTGCACTTGCTATGTACAAGCAAGTTCTCAAGAACGACCCTAAAAATATCTGGGCAGCTAATGGCATCGGCTGTGTCTTAGCACACAAGGTAACTAAGTAATATGAAAAAGTTTTTAATACATTTTTGTAACGAATTCTAAAAAAAAAGAAGTTGGTAATGACTTTATGTTCTTGATTATTTATTATTTTCATTCTTAAAATAAGATATATGTTACAGGGTTGTATAAACGAGGCGCGTGACATATTCGCGCAAGTGCGCGAGGCGACTGCGGACTTTCCCGATGTATGGATGAACATCGCGCATATATATGTTGAACAGAAACAGTATATCAACGCCATACAGATGGTTATTATTTAATTATTATTTTTAGTATGTGAAAGATACAGAGAGCGTGAGAGAGAAATGTGGGCATATTAAAGTAGAAAGGATAAATGAATTTAAAACATAATAATAATATTATATGTAGTACGTAAAGACAGAGAGCGATACTAACGCCATCTGCGCTCTACAAAGAATTAAAAAATACAGACAAAGTAAATGCGAAAATAAACAATAATTGCGAAAAGTTATAAACTGGCGATCTTAAGTTAACATTTGAGTTATCTATCAGGTTATTATATTTTTAATGTGTGTATTACTGTATGTAGTACGAGAACTGCATCCGCAAGTTCCGCATGCAGCACGACGAGGAGTGGCTGACATGGGTGGCGCGTGCGCACGGGCTGGCGGCGCGGCCACACGCGGCACGCGCGGCGCTGCTGCGTGCTCGCCGCGTCGCGCCGCACGACCCCGCGCTGCTCTACAACACCGCGCTGGCGCTGCGCCGCCTCGCCGCACATGTGCTCAAAGATGAACGATCCGAGCTGGCGGTCGTGCTGCGAGCTGTACACGAGCTCCAAGTCTCACATCGGTACCTATCATCCGCCTTTCTAGATTTTGATCTCGGAAACACACTGCGAGGGATTCAGAGCCTTCTTTAAGAGTGATTGGGTCTTAGTTAACGACGTTGGCCCTTTGCGGGTTGATTTGATACATATTTTATTATTTTTTGGCCTAACTGTGCAGACTGTTTCATCACGATGTTTTCTATCACTGTAAGAATGCTGAATAATTCGAAAAACACATGGGTATATAGCGTGGATCGAACCCAGTTTTACATGACAACTGCGCCACTGACGCTCTAAATAAAACCTTTTTTAAGATAAAAAAAAAAATATTTAATTATTATAGAGACGTACTCTCGCGCCCTTTGATCGCTCTAGCATAGTTATATTTCAATCTGATGAATGGTTTAGAGTGATATAGAGGACAAAGTAAATGATGATGTTCGTATGCAGGTACTTCCAGAGGTTATCATCAGTGAGCGGCGAGGGTCAGGAGCGCACTCGGTTCGAGGCGAGCGCGGCGGCTGCGGAGGCCCGGCAGTGCGCAGATCTGCTGTCGCAGGCGCAGTGGCACGTGGCGCGCGCACGCAGGCAGCACGATGAGGAGCTCACGCTGAGGGACAGGCAGCGAGAGCAGCGCGAGGCCTTCCGCAGGCAACAGGTTGTATTCCATTTTCTTATAAGGAATTATGATATTTGTAACTGTTTTCGTCGCATGTACTATGCGCATTTGTTACTATATTAATACATTTCATGCCACTACACTCACATTATCATAGTGAACATAATGCGAGTCGGTAGCATTTAATGTGTTAAAATTGTTTGAATTGCACTCTCACTATATGACCGATAACCACTGATTATTACAAAACCGAAATGAATCAAAAACTCAATGCATAAAATCAAGTTTTATGTTATTAGTATAAAAAAGCGATGTAATTTGCTTGATTCATTACAAAGTTGCTTATTTAAGATAGTGGAAAACCCTTGGTTACTCTTTAATTTTGTAGGAAGAGGAACGTAAGCGTCGCGAGGAGGAGCAGGCGAAGAGCACTGTGGAGATGCTGCAGAAGCGACAGGAGTTCAAGGAGAAGACGAAGAACGCACTGGTGTTCGCCGACATGCCGGCGGAGGGCAAGGCGAGAGCGCGCGGACGGAGACGCGACGAGTACGTCTCCGACTCGCCCGCCAGTGGCAGCGACGCACCACGAGAAGAACGGTCAGTTACAATCATATTAATACAAAGATTGCGACAACTAAATGGGCGTAGATTTTGGTATCAGAAACCCACTTTTAATCGGTAGACGTTTAATTTACAAAAGGTTTAAATATAATGCATAATTGTGGTATAATAAGTGTTGTATTATTGTAGTCGCGAGGCTAAGCAGAAGAAGAGTCGCAAGCGTGAGGGCGGTGAGAGCCGCAAGGGCAAGTCGCGACGTCGCCGAGACCGCCCCTCGGGCAGCGACAGCGACCCGCCCGCTAAGCGCGGCAGGAAAAAGGTAATCTATGTGCAAATTACTGTCATACACATCCATACAGATACACACAAACTTTCTCAATATACCGCTAATAGGTGGTTAATCGTACGGACATCCGATATGTGGTCGTGGGTCCGAATTTGACTATTTAATCAAGCACGAGCCTCGTAAGTGATTTACAGTATTTTAATACAGCATTTTAATTTGCCGTATTTTAATAATAAAAAATGTTTAATTCTAATAAATAAAATATGAATCTATTACTATGTCACTGTCAGCTGTAAGTGATTATTTATTTTCATAGGGTGAGAAAGGAATCGGCAAACGTGAGAAAGGATCCAAAGGGAAGGCAGACGAAAAGGGCACGAAGTTGCGCATGAAGATCGTGTCCAAAGAGACGATCTCTACGTCCGAGTCGGACTCGGAGGCGTCGCGCAAGTCGCGCAGTCGCAGTCGCAGTGGTAGTCGCAGTCGCAGTGGCAGTCGCAGTCGCAGCCCGCCAGCTACCAAAGGACGCAAGAGAATCGTGTCCGCTTCTGATAGCGATCGGTAAGAGTAACAATATTTCAATTTCTATTTCACTTGGGGTTTTGAATGAAGTGAAATTCACATTCACACATTGTCATCCCTCATATTTTAATTGAAAAAAAACATGAAGAACAATATGTGTCAGTATGGCGGAAGTTTAAATTCGAAACCCACATTAAGAGTGTAATAACGCCTTTTCAACCTAAAATTACCTTGTCTAAATGTATGTTAAAGATACTCAAAGTATTCTTCTTTGTAGATCACGTTCGAAAAGCCGCTCTAAATCGCGTAGCCGTTCACGCTCTGGTTCTGCGAAGAGTCGTTCTCGCTCTAAAAGCCGATCTCGCTCTAAAAGCCGATCACGCTCAAAGAGCCGATCTCGCTCCAAGGGTCGCTCCCGCTCTAAGAGTCGTTCTCGCTCCAAGAGTCGCTCTCGGTCTAAGAGTCGCTCTCGGTCTAAGAGTCGATCTCGATCAAAGAGCGGATCTAAGGGCCGCTCCCGCTCCAAGAGTCGCTCACGTTCGAAGAGTCGATCAAAGTCTAAGAGCCGATCGCGCTCCCGATCAAAGAGCGTTTCAAGGTCTAAAAGCCGTTCAAGATCCAGGTAAATATAAAAAAATATATTCAGTTTAATAATTTAGACGAATCAAATTTATCAAAACGTCATATAACCTACCTACCTGTCATCTTTCCAGGTCTAAGAGTAGATCACGATCGAAGTCAAGGTCTCGTTCACGGTCCAAGAGTGGTTCCAGAAGTCGTTCCGGTTCCCGGTCGCGTTCCGGCTCCAGGTCTAGGTCCGGATCGAGAAACTCCAGACCAGAGACTCCCGTGTCTAGGAAATCAGTTTCCGCAAGTGAAGACGAGGCGTAAATTAGCCACACTGCATATCTATATAAACTCAATTTACCGTTGTGGTATAAATGCCCATGGTTACGTTTTCTGTGTATTATAATAGAAATATTAAACTTAAATAAATGTATTTTTGTTTCATTTGTCCCCGTAGGGTTGGAAATGTAAAAGTTCAAAAATGAGTTGGTTACGGTGTCGATTTACTAGTAATTTTCTATTAAAGTTTTCATAACGAACTGTAAAGAAGGTCCATTCACTGACTTAAAGATCTGGCAGTAGACTAAAGTGGTCAAAGATTGAATTTTGGAATTCTTTGTTTTAAATGTGTCAATGTCATGTCATTGGAATCTAATGGCGCGAATGTCAGTGTCAGGAGATTTGAATGTAAATATTATGTTTCATGTTCACTTAACCATTTGTTTTAATAATTGAAACAGTAATGATTAGATATCGCGATTTTAAAGAATTTCATGACAAAACAAAGTCTACCTCTTTTAATTAGTTAAGAATATTTAATATGGATATGCTGGAACCAGGTAAACGAATAAGTTTAAAGCGCGCACGTCCTAACCCTCTGTTTCAAAGCTGGATAGAGGAACTGCAAGAAGAAGCTATTCAGAAGAAAAGTAAACTTGAAAATAAGTTATCAGTGGCTTTGACTTCTCTTTCTAAATATCCTTTACCATTACAAACAGGAGCTGAATGTGCTATCCTTAAAGGTTTCGACAAGCGATTATGTATGTTCTTAAACAAAAAACTACAAATATATAACACATTCAAAGGTATATCTTTAAGTTCTATTGACCGGATAAGTAAAGAAAATAGAATAAGCCCTATTTTAGATAGACTAGATTCAAAAACAAATTCTTATAGCACAGAAGAATGTGATGTAGAAATAATTGACGTTGCACCAAAATCTAGTAGCCAAGTAAGTAGCAGTCCACAGAAGTCAGAAAGTCCTACTAAAACTAAAACTTATTGTGACACAATTTATAAGCCACCATATGGATCTGGAGGATATGCTATCCTACTGGCTTTACTCAAACAGTCTAACAATGAAAAAAAGGAACTGGACAAGGAAACCTTGATTGAGCATGCTGAAAAATATTGCAGTACATCATTTACTATCAAAAAGGCAAACACATTCTATACAGCTTGGTCTAGTATGGGCAAATTGATAACAAAAGGCTTAGTCAAAAGAAGCAAAAGTGGCAATAAAACTATATATTCTTTAACAGCTGAAGGTTGTTCAATAGCAAGAGATTTATCCAAAAATGTTCCAAAAACATCAATTGCCGAAGATATAATTTATGTAAATACAAGTCCTAAAAATACCATACACAATGAGATTAATAATTCAAAAGATCACTTGGTAGAAGAAGCTTCTACAAATAGTCAAACATCTTCGGTACAATATTCACAGATTGTTTGCATAGAATTGGCAGCAAATTCATTTGATATCATTTTACTTATAGATAAACAGGAGACAAGTGGGTATGTCAACATTTTTCTATACATTTTGAACTTTAAAACATTTGTTAAATCCTTTAAATAACTCATAATTTTATTTCTAGATTAAACAATAAAAATGATCCTACAGTTGCACAATTTAAAAAGTACACTAATATATGTCATGAATACAGGTCACTAAAAGTTGGTGACTATACTTGGATAGCTAAACATCAAACTACTGAAGAGGAATTAGTTCTACCTTTTATTGTGGAAAGAAAGAGGTTAGATGATTTAGCAGCCAGTATTAAAGATGGCAGGTTTCATGAACAAAAGTTTAGATTAAGACGTTGTGGTATAGAAAATGTTATATATTTAATTGAAAATTATGGAGGCAAAAAGAATGTTGGGTTGCCTGTACAGTCTTTAATGCAGGCATTAGCAAATACAAGAGTTAATGATGTTTTTAAAGTTCATATAACAAAATCTTTGATTCATACAGCAAGATTTCTGGCAATAATGACAAAAAGATTGGCTTTCAGATTTCAGGTAAGTCCAAATTGAATATCATCATCAGCTCACTATATGTCTCCACTGAGGTGCTTGGGAGCTTACCCTAAGTTAGGGGTGACTAGGCCATAATCAACCACGCTGGCCAAGTGTGGGTTGGTTGACTTCACACATATCTTTGAATTTCTTCTCGGATATGTGTAGGTCGCATCAAGATGTTTTCCTTACCATAAGAATGTCGGATAAATGTACATATGTAAATCGTAAACCGAAAAACACATTGGTACATGGCGGGATTCGAACCCAAGACCTGCAGATTGCAAGTCAAGTGTTTGACCCCTGATCCACCAATGCTCAACTATCAACTATTACCTTATTAAACTTAACTATTTATTATTTTGAGCAATAATACTGCAATTTAACATGAAACAGTAACTTAGTATAAAATAATCCATTTCATTTTATCTTGTCATGTTTCAGAATAAAAACTTAAAAGGATGGAATGCTGCACCTGAGGGTACAACATTAATGACATTTGATTATTTTAATAAAAGTACAGTTAAAAATAAACCTTTAACTGTTACTGAGACATTTATTAAAATACTACTTCAGTTAAAAGGAGTTTCTGTTGAAAAAGCTTTAGCAATAACCAGCAAATATACAACTCCTCATTCCCTTATAAGTGCTTATAAAATCTGTAGTCAAAAAGAAGGCGAATTTTTACTTGCAAATTTAAAACACGGAGAATTAAGTAGAAATGTCGGGCCTACTGTAAGTAAGACAATATATCAACTTTTTTCAAGAACTATTTAGGAATGTGATAGATTATTTTGGACCATGAAAACTTGATGTACCGACCATGTAAAGGGGGATGAGAACATGGAGATAATGTATTTAGCTCAAGAATGTTTATTTACCATCAAAAATGTTTCGAGCAATATATATTCTGATAATTATATTTTTTTACATTTCATGATAAAAACAAAACAGTACCTACATGATTTGTGATGAATAAAAACAATAACTTTTTTATTGCGCTTAAGTTTTCGAATCAAAATGTTTTTACTTAATTTTTATTGTGCTGGTATGTTTTAAATTATGACTGATTTTTTTTTTAATATTTATATAACTTAATGTATTATTTAATATTTCTTAACTTTTTTGTTTATGAATGTTATGCTGTACTTTATCTTGGACATTGTGAAATAGGCCCTTTAAAAATAAATTATTAATAAATAAACATTGTTTTTGTCTGTGTTAATAATTTTATTTTGTTACTAGCTGTCGCCGCGACTCTGCGCGGAATTAAAAAAACATAATAAGTAGCCTATTTGTACTTCCAGACTATGTTCTATATATATGCCAAATTTCATCGAGATACGTTCAGCCGTTCTGGAGATACCTTAAACAAACATCCATCCAACCATCCATCGAAATATTCACATTTATAATATTAGTAACATAATGGTTATGTAGTTAATTACTGTTCAATTGAAGCATTTTTTTAAATAAAACGAATAATATTCACATATATATCTTTATTAACACAACTATTGACGACAGTGACAAGAATAAAAGAGCAGAATAATTGAGGATAATATAAGCCTGTAAACACTCCACAACTAACCCATAAATAGATGAGATTTATAAGAGCACTTTAGGATGGAATGAACTTTCCCCAGTTTACAAAATCACAAAAGCAAAATGCGTACATTGGTTTAGCACATCAACATTAAGCAATACAAGATACAAATTGTGATACATTGAGAGATTCGAAAAGGTAACTTATAAGAGATTCAGAAAAGTGATTGAATTGTGCCAAACCAATATTTTACTATTTTTAGACCCTTATTTTCATCATCACATTGCGTTACCTTACAACAACACTTAATAATATGCTTACAACTATTTATAAAATGAGGATTCCGTGCAATCAATGAAGTGATTCTACAATACAAATATGTTTTACTGTAAATAAAAATCTCATCATTGGAACATGGCACAGGCGAATAAGAGAAATCCATCCCTAAGATTAAATTACACATCTTTTAACATCAATTATATAACATGCATATTCAAAACAGTTTATAATTTGGAGTATTTCAACCTTATCTTTAACATCTAATAAATTCACAAAAAATCTTAGATATTTCTCAAATTTACACAAAATTATCAAAATGTTATATATTGAATATGTTTGCAATAATATAAATTTTGTTTGGTCTTAGGCAAGTGAAAATGTGTTTCTGAGAAAGAAATAACGATTACCTTAATTCTTTTGACATGCAAAATTAAACTATAATATCAGCATAATAATAAATGTAACATATAAAATGTCCCAGTCCCATTATAATTCGGTAAAATCAATCTCAATCTTATAAGAAACGAAACTAGGGCAACCCTGTTAAAGACATACTGGCAACATTTAGTGCACAGAGAAAAAAATAAAATACACATCTTCTAATGTAACAAAAATTTAAAACATATGGGTGTTTTAATGTGCCCCTTAAAACATAACTAAGGAATAATATAGTGCACCTTAACTACAGAAGTCAAGCTTAACTTACATTACACTTAGAGAGTGTGGTAATTCCTTTCGGTGTGATTCTTGTAATATTTGAAGCCAATAAATCCAATTGCAAGCAGACCAAGTGTAAGAATTATACCACCAATGAAACTGGGTCCATCGAATCTGCAAATACAAAACATTAATATGAGTCAAAAATCAACAAGGAATAGACATATATTAAGGTTTTAAGTAGCATTTGTAAGATACAAAAGAAAGGAAAGTTTTCAAAACAAATCAGTTTAAGCACAACAAAGTTCCTCTCTCTAACAAAAACTTAGGTAAAAATTACAAATATTTCTATGGTAAACACATCTTACTAATATATATGTATAAATAAAGCGAGTGTTTAGATAGATGGATGGTTGTTTGTTTGGAGGTAACTTGGAATGGTTCAACAGATCTTGCTAAAATTGGCTACTTATTAAGTTTTTTTAATACCACGCGGACGGAGTCGCTTGCGACAGCTAGTTGTAAATAACCTACCCTCTAGCTTGGAGTGTTGGTTTATCTTCATCCTTTTTAGGTGCTTCTGTGGGTTTAGTTGTCACAGCACTCTTTTCAGTGGAGGTAATTGGGGCCTTCTCGGTTTTTTCTTCAGGTTTAGCTGGAGTGACATCTTTCTGTTTCTCTGTGCTGGCTTTGGTTTCGGGCTCGGGTTTAGCAGGTGCCATTTCTTTGGCAGGATCTACTTTCTTTTCGGCTTCTTTCTGAGGTTCCATGTCTTTTTTGGTTTTGTTTTCACTTGCTGCAGTTTGTGACATGTTGGTTTTTTCATTGGGGACTGGTGTGGCTTCTGTTGTGTTGGCCTTTTCGCTTGTAGTGGTTTGCGCAGGCTTCTGTTCAGTTACAGTGGTAATGGCTGGAGATTTTTCAGTTGCAACAGGAGTTTTTGGATCTGGGGTGGCATTTGTGATCTGCGGCTGAGTAGGTTTCCCTGTAATTGTAATAAATTTATGGTTAACCAGATTTACAGTTAGAGAACACCTATTTAACTTTAACAAATCTTAAAACTGTATTGGCTACAGGTATTTTATTTATAAATATTCAAATTACCAAGAAATCAAATAATATGAAAAAAATTCAAAATAAACGCAATTTTGTGGCACACTCCCGTAATCTAACAACAGAAATGGTCAACATATGCCAACTTAAAGCTTTAAAATATGATGTAATACTTTTTCACAACATTTTTACAATATCATCTCCCAGACAATCCCACTCTCATGGGATCAGCAGACCAAGTTTTATAAACCTTAGTATTCTTTTGTCGCCAGAACAACTAAAAATTATAAATTACGAAAATACAATTACATTTATATATTTACACAGAAATACCATGTGATTGGATAAACCAGTTTTGTTTATTTTAAAGCAAGATAGTAGTAATGATAAGTAATTGTTGGATTTTACCGATCACTAATTTGTTCAAACTTGGTCTTGGTTATAGTCATTTTATTAGAATATACATTATTGAAATCTTATACACAGTAAGTTTTGATCTGGTTATGCAAATGAGACACACCAGTTATCTCACAAGATACTTTATAAAGAATTTTGTTCTGGGTAAAGCACAAATTATTTAAATAGCTCAGTTCTCACATATATTTATGTATAATTTTATGGCTCTTGGTTATCTTTAATAAACAAGATCTATATTAACATTTATTAATACAGTGGGTTTCATTGTCATGAAACATGTACAAAAACATTTTCTTGCCTTTCATTATGTTTGAAAAATATCAATGTGTTTTTGTATGTGTTTCACAGTATATATAAAATAGTTATTTATAGATGGAAGATTTTGTTAATACATATGTATTAGGATTAGAGCCTATAATATTATTAACATAAATGTGAATGTTTAGATCAATGGATGTTTTAAGATATCTCCAAAACGGCTGAACGGATCACAAGGAAATTTGGAATACATATAGAACATAGTCTGAAATCCAATTTTAGTTGAATGTTACACAATTTTATGGTACAGTTATTTTGAACTGTAATTTTTTGTAAATTAAATTTTTACAGCAGTAAAAGAGTATAGAATCCGCTGTTATAAATATATACAAAATAAATATGTATACAATAGATATTAAAACCTGTCTCTATCAATACAGAGTAAAAATAATATTTTTATTAATTAATGATTAATAGTAGTTTTACAACACATTTGATATTTTTTTTATAACATATGACAGATCTCAGAATGGTAAATAATATTTGTTAAGTTTTAAAGTAAAATTTCTCAAGAATATTACTATACTTAAGTTATCCTACCTTGAGTAGGTTTCCATTAATAGCTTTTATCTTATTATGTTGTAAGTTTAATAACTTAAGGAAAGTTGAAAGTAATAAGGTTGGACAGCAAATAAATCAAGGCCAATTAACTTTGTTTTGACATGTAAATAGTGTTTAAAGTTTAATATAGCATCTGAGTTAATTATGTTCTTGTATATTTAGAGCTTGAGAGATTCTTACAGCAATACTAAATACGCATATAATTTGTGTTTTTTCGAAATAGTAAAACTTAAATTTTGTAAGACAGTTAACTATTGAAATTGGCAGTAATATCTATAATTATAAAGAGATAAAATTAGGTCATTACTATGTTGCAAACTGTTTTAGCTTCAAAACGAGTTGTGCACATTTTGCTTATAAACGGAATCAAGTTTAAATACGAAACTATTTGATATAGTACATAAAATATCATATTTGTGAACTTAAATATATTACTTTTTATTGTTCTAACATTTCAAATTAAAGACAACGTGAATAAAAGCAGACTTTTTTTTTAAATTAATTAACCGGAAATGAAATTTTGGCTAGACAGTAAACGACAAAACATGAATGTTTAAAATGGCGGTATTTCGTTATTTCCTAAAATATGAAAGAAAAAATATACACATAATTACACACGAGTTAAATGTACTTTATCAAAATTAATTCATATAACTGTAACCACAGCGATATAAATAACGATTGAATTGATTCTTTAATTTTCTATAACAACGGTACATGTCATTATTTTGCAATAATCGTTTGTGTGATTGAGACATGTACACATTTTTAACAATAAATGACTGTTATACAAGATAACAATAACATTGAAATTGTACTTGTCTCGATTTCGTAAATGATTAGCTACATAAGTACAAATACATCTCATTGTATAGTGCTAAGTAATCGAACCCTTGTATATAGCTTGATATATCTCGGCGAGATCAAGTAATTTTGTCAGAAAATATGATGAAATTTAGCCAGCGCGTTATGGGAGAAACAAGTTTTTATGACAATGTCACAATGAAGAAATTTTTATTGCAACGCAATTTTGTTGAAGTTAGATTGATCCATATTAAAGCTTACCTTGGTCATCAGCTGGCTTACTCAGGCAGAACGATAGTGACAATAAACATAAAAATATTACTTTCTTCATCTTTGAAGTTGTGA